TTTAGTTTAAATAGCGCTGAGGGAGATAGAGGAAGAGTCAAAAGTACACTAAGGAAAAATTCAATTTAATTATTTTTATACCCGTTACTCGTAGAGTAAAAGGGTATACTAGATTCGTGCAAAAGTATGTAACAGCTAGAAGGAAGCGTTTCCGACCCCATAAAGTATATATATTCTTGATCAGGGTCACTAGCCGAGTCGATCTAGCCATGTCCGTCTGTCCGTCTGTCCGTCTGTCCGTCTGTCCGTCTGTATGAACGCTGAGATCTCAGAAACTACAAAAGCTAGAAGATTGAGATTTCCCACACATATTCTTTGGCTTCCTACGCAGCGCAAGTTTATTTTAGCCGAGCGCCACGCCCCCTCTAACACCCACAATCGCCCACTAACGATTTTAAAATGCGTCCTGCGCCCACATCTTTAAAGATTTCCGAGAAGTATAAATGAAATTTTGTTGTGTATATTTATATCTATCGAAATGTAGAAGACATTTTTCAAATCGGACCATTCATTAAAAAGTTATACGCTTTATAAATTGTCAACATATATCTATCTCCCTCGCACTCCCTTTAGCTGAGTTACGATTATTAGTCGGGACACCAACCCGACACAGCGTTCGCACTCCCTTTAGCTGAGTGACGGGTATTAGATAGTCGGGACACCAACCCGACTATAGCGTTCTCTCTTGTTTTATTTATTTTTTAGCTAGTAACCTAAGCTAAGGTTTGAATGGAAACAGATTGGACTTTTTATTACGTACTAGATCACCGTTTTAAAAAAAAAATGTCCTTCAGTATAAGCATAGCTCTTTTAATTTATAAACAATTATTTACAAATGTATTAAAATATATGTGCTTAAGTTCATTATTCCGACATTGTTGCTTATTTTAGTTGTATAATAATCTCTGAGTGTAGTTCTGATAAAAACCGAATTTTTCAGTGTATGAACATCTCCCGGAAAATGCAATTTATGTGTTTGGGGAAAGGGCAGCACACAAGAAAAAAAGAAAAACCGAGTCACACGTGACTGCAGTGAACGTTGCCTTCGCCACCCACCGATACCGCCCCCTGCCCTTTTCCGCCCACATGTGTGAACAAATATTTTTTAGAGGGTGTCCGCCCTTTATGCGGGTCCTTTCTGGTGTCCTGAAGTCCTGGTGTCCTGGTGTCCAGCCCCGGCTACGTGTCATTTGTGCTATCTGGTCGAGCAAATCTTTCCGCTGCTGCCCGCTCTTCCCAGCTCCAAAGTCCGGACAATTTCCATAATCGTTGGTTAAACAAGACCGCTCACACATGCCTGGTCAAGCTGACCGCAGTTTATGCCCGGGGTTTTACGGCCCTCAGCTCCTAAGTCCCGGCCGAATCCGGATCCCTTTGTGGACCTTGTTTGAATTATGCTTTTACATATTTTTATTCACTTAACACAAAAAAGGGGTGCAAGGGCGAAGATATGTGTGCGGAAAGTTGGGAAGGAGGTGGCCCGGCTTAATCAAATTATGGCTTATCTCTCGGATGGGTGTCGACTTGGCGGAGGTCAAAACGCAAATAGCCATAAACATGTAGATTAAATCCCCATTGACCAGGTCCCATCACCCACATGGTCTCTTGGTTGACCTTGTTTCTTCCGGGAGTTTTATTAGGTATAAACTCTTTAATGGCGTCCACACAATGCAGCGAATATTTGCATATAAATCTCCTGACTCCTGGTAATTAAAAGTCTAGTTTTATGGATTGTTTATGCACAGCAAAGATCTGAAATAATGGATCGAGGAAAAATATTTGACCAACATGCTGGTTCAGTGTAACTGGGATTTTATTAATTTTCTAGCATACTTATGGGAGTTGACACAACCCTAATAAAAATGCATTTTTGAAAGAAATTATAGGTGGCCCAATATTATTTTGCCTATCAAGTTTTTAAAACCTTTGCATAATCCCTTTAAAAATAAACTAAATTAGAATTCAGGGGCAAACAAGTTAAAGAATCGTTCAAGACAATACTTTAACAAATGTACCCCCAAAATGAGCCACAAAAAATCCATAAATATCGACTCGGAATCATTGGAGCAGTCGCTATATGGGGAAAGACCCAGCATCAATTCATGCTCAATTCAAATGTTGTTCAATCTCATTCAAACAATTTGTATCGTAGTTTTATTACCACAATAAAACGGATTAAGCAGCTCGCCCTCCCTTGGAGCTGCAAAAAGGATACAATGAAGTCGGAACCGAGAAAAGAGGGCGTGCCCTTACTGGTCGTACTGCTCGTGTGTGTTCGCCTTTTAAATTGGTTGAATTTCCGCACGAATTAAATTTTTTCCTGCCAAGTGAAGGAGCGAAGAATATTTCACGCTTCGACAGATTGACGATTGGACGGGAGGCAATGGAGGGTGAGCCGTATTATAGAGTCCTTTCCGGAATATTTCACACTTCGCCCGTACAAATCAGCGACACGTGGCAAGTGCCATATAATTTATAACAGCGAAAAAAGGGCAAAGGAGACTCCAAAAACTTCGGTGGGTCTCGAATTTGATACGCTCAATCTGCTCAAGAATTTTTCAACATTTTTTCAGCGGCCGAAACTTTAAACTTTTCGTCGCTCGTTTTCTGTGTGAGACTTTCCGCAGAAGCGGCCATTTCATTTGGCTTAAAATTTTATTATCCCCATTCACCAGCAAATGGAAAATTAATATTTCTTTTTATCTCATTTTACAGTAGATTTTTGTAATTTTCTTTAGAGTCACTCAAAGAAAGCGGTATCTTCAATCAATTTGCTTGGCTTTTACGCTGGGACTGCTCCTTTCAATTGACCAGACCTTTGTTGGAGCTCCCTCGGTAGCCATCTATCTGTACATATGTCTGATTCATATCTAAATCTATTACAATTCATATTTATATGCCGAGCACACTGATAGCCACCCTCCCACGCTGAAAATTTTGATTTGCTGGGTGGGAAAACAGTGCGGTTCGCAAGGATTTGCCTTTGCAAAATATAAGATTATGTTCTACCATAAATCAATAAAAGTTTTATAAAAATTATAAACCATTTTTCAGTGATTTCTAAATTAATCTCTACTATTCAACCCTCAAGCTATTCAATGATTTTTCAAAAACAAATTTACAGATATGCCTCGCACTGTACGCGTACGAGTTAAGTCAAGTGTTAAAGAGTTTTTTGAGAGACATCTCCGTCTGGTTTCTCCGCATCTTGTGTCGCAATTTCTTTTCGGTCTTGCTACCCCTTTTATGAGCCCTTTCCGTTTCGCCGTTTCTGCTTAGCCTAATATCCAAATAAACATACTTTATCCGTTATTGCCGTCAAATTTATGGTTTCTTAAATGCCACCCCATCCGCTGATGGACTTCGACTTCCCGGATGGAAATATGAGATGGTAGCTGCGATTTTGATAAGGGTCCCCGGAGTTTCTTCAGTAAGTCAGTTGAATCTATTTTCTCGATGGTTCGACAGCTGGTAAAGTTTATTGGGTGGAGCGATAAGACAATAGAGGGAAACTTTTCTTTGAAGTTTATGGTTTTTACACATTTACTTTCCTGCGGCTTCTGTTGCCACGAGAATCCGATGTGCATTGCCAATTGCAATTAAAACAATGTTACAAGGTCACTGGTTTTTTGCACAGATAACAGAAAAATGCAAAAAGTGGCGCCGCTAACGAAATTGCAAATTTTGCACATGTACCGAAATGCAACGCTGTGTTGTATATGTACCTATAGCATACATATATATATATCTGTGGAATGCAATTGAAATCGGTGACAACATAATGCCCCATACACCTACCCCAATGCAGGCGACAACAACAACAACAACAAAAACACCAGGAAAAGCTCCATTTTCCAGCGGAACCTTTCCTTTGCGCAGGTCCGAAACTGGAAAATGAATTACGTAGTGTCCTCCGAAAGAGGGGGAATCCCCCTCTCCGAGGAGTCTGTGTGTGCGTATGTATGAGTGCCTTTTTGCAATGGTGGCCGTTGTTTAGGTGTGAAATCTGCAAAGAGAGAGCCTTTAAAGGTGTGTGAGTGAGAGAGAAAGCAGGGACTAAATAGGAATTAACCGTAACAACAAAAACATACCTATTGGAGCAAGCGCATAATTCATATTTTACCAGCAACGCCCACGCCCCCTTTGCGTCTGTGTGCGTAGGGTGTTTAAGGGTGTGTGTGTTTGAGCAGGTGCTTTTCAATTATCTTTGGGGAACTGTTAAATAAATACAGGTATACATACCATAGCACATAAAGAGATTTCTACATATGTTCCCATTTATTTACATTGCTAATTGTGATGAATCCTAGACACATAAGGCAAATAAATTAGTATAAAGTAGCCACACAAATTTTATTAAAAGTTTTACATGAGTTGTAGTCTAGAAAAAAAAATGATTTTTGAAAGCATTTTGAAAAGTTCGTAACGAGTTGCAGAGATTATTATTTTACCAATTATTAAATTGACCTTCAGGTATAGTCGATTATTTCAGTTCTCCATATCGGAAGACCACAGTTCTAATTCATCAATAAATAATGTGCAATTATAGATTTACTAGCATGTGCCAGGAATAATCAAACTTGAGTGACGGATGAGTTATTTTCATAAATGCTACACGGTATAGCTAATGATCTCCGATGAGTATTTAATTTCATTTCCCTGAAAATGTACTATTTTTGTGTTTATTAATAGAACAACGTGCACATATTAACCGACATAACCTGCGTGACCAACGAGCTGGCTTTATAAACACTACCTGTAAACATTATAAACATTGTTGATCACCATAAATGGTATTTGGCATAACTAATAGTGTCTGATAGGTATTTAAATCCATTTTGTTAAAATGTTGTTTATTCGTTTTCATTTTATGACGTATTTTTGATTTTCTTTTATATTTATTATTTATATATATATATATTTATTTATTATTTTGCATATTAAGAACACAATTTCCAATTTCTTTAATATTTTAAAAATGTATTAAATTTTTTAATCTTTCAAGAAATTGTGACATATACGTTTACCGTGGCACGGTTGTTATCGTAAGCATACCAGTTAGAATGATACAAGTAGTCTCCATGAGGAACCGGAAGAACTTCTGTTACTTGCGTATTTGGATGACCTATAGGCAGTTTTTCAAGAATAATATCGTGCTGAAACAATGAAGATATCTGAGTATATAAAAATGAATACCAATATTAAATTGGGGCTCACATCAACGGGACAGGAATGATTCATGTTGGAGTAATCCTTAAAGAAGCTGTGAATGTAATTACCAATGGGATTAGCTTTAGGATTTTTTATAAATCTGCAGGCATCTACTGTCAGGTTATAGAGAAACGGCTTATAGCCATTTAATAGCTTCAGAAGTGCCACGTTAACCTGAAACGAAAACAGTTTAGTGGTGATAAACAAAATGAAATAGAAAGTGTACAAACCTTTACTTTGGTAATGGGTTTTTTAAGCAACTTCACTTTTAAGGACAGGTATTTATAGGTGCGATTCACCTACAGTTTATTAGTAAATAAGTAAAAATTTACTTTGTACCAAGTTATAATCGTTGAATTTTTTTAAAGGTTGTGCATGACATGACAAATCAAGGAGGAAAGACAATATAACTTCGTGTAAATATGTGTTTTAGAATGCTTTTTCAAATTTAAAAAATTCTCGTATATACGTTAACCGTAGCACGGTTGATGTTGTAGGCATACCAGTTAGAATGAAGCAAATATTGTCCATGAGGGACCGGCAGAACATCGGTTACATGCCTATTGATGTGAGATATTGGAAGTTTTTCAACCACAAGATCGTACTGAAAAAAAAAGAAAAAATGTATCTAATTAAATAACTGGTATTAAATTTGGACTCACATCAATGGGACACGTAGAATTTATATTGGAGTAATCCTTGAAGAAGCCGTGAACGTAATTAGCAACGGGATTAGCTTTAGGATTTTTTATAAATTGGCAGGGATCTACTGAAAAGTTATAGAGAAACGGCTTATAACCATTTAATCGCTTCAGCAGTGCAATGTGAATCTGAAACGAAACAGCTTAGTGGTGATAAACATTACAAAATAGAAAGTGTACAAACTCTTATTTTGGTAACGGGTATTTTATGCAACTTCACTTTTAAGGAAAGGTATTTATAGGTACGATTCACTGCCTTTAAAAAGCAATAGTCGAAGGTGGAAAACGCTGGGTCGTGGGAAGTGCATTGAACGTTGGTAAACTCAGCTTTAGATGCAATCTAAAATATTACATAAGTAACTTAAAAATTGTGTTAGTTTTTTCACTGCATAATGTTACCTGTTTGATTAAATAAGCAAGAAGAACGAGTTCAAGCAGCCGAAGTCGTGAACCCATTTCGACTTCAATGATGAACAGTTTTATTGTCAATAAGTAAAAAATCACTTTGTACTCATTTATAATCGTTGAAAATATTGAAATTACGGGTTATTATATAAATAAATGATGCTTGACGTTTCGGGTTTTTAAATGATTTGCAACACGACAAAGCTTATTATTTCTGTTATTATATCCAAGGAGAAAAGATCATATAACTTCGTGTTGATATAGTCTGAACAATCCTTTTTCAAAATGATATCCTGTTTACCAAGAGTTTTTTGAAATAACTTCCCATAAGGAAGCTGGAGATAAAGACATCATTAGAAAATCATGTAGTGCATTAGTCGAACTGTCGTCGCCACACCCCCACTCCATGTGCCACTCCCCCGCCCAGGACCCCCGCCCACTCCGGGGGGCAGCCGCAATTGCCATTATGTTGAACACGCAAGTCAATTGATGCAATTTGTCCGACCAGCCGGAGAGGAGAGTCTTCTTTTGGCTCGGGCCAGGGGCAATTTCCCCAGTGACAATGTGACATGCCGTAACAGGTTCACGGTCTGACGAATAGTGGGTGGTGCCCTGCGGGGGTGCAGGGGCATCGAATTGTGGAAGAGGGGGTGAAACCGACCGCCTGCTCTCATCAACAGTTAGCAGCTTCTGCTGGTGATTTAAGGGTTGCCAGCCAGCCGGCTCGCCCTTAAATGAATTGCGGCGATTTATTGCGGTAATACTCATTTAGCGGACCTGCCCCGGGGGTAAGAAGAAAATAGAAGAAAGAACTTTATAGTCAAGGGATCGGCCTACTAGATTCCCAGTACTTAAAAATACAATAACTACCCCTTAAAAGTCCATTATGAGTGATTCTTTGTGAAACGTATCGAGATTTTCTTAATGGTCTCAAAACGATATCTGTAATTTTCCAATCGAAATAAATGATCTTACTCTGATAAAATGTGTAATATTTTTAAAAATATAATATATATTGTAATACCACTTTAAGCATTGAAACACGTACTTTTCGAATTGTGAACAATAATTTCGGAGTTTACAACATAAATAGTTTCTATAAAAAAAACGACAACAAAAATATACCCTTTCTAAGTTACATACACTTTTTTATCACACCCAATCGCCCAAGTACAGGGTATTATAACCGACTCAAGTTGAGTGCAAACAATGCACACAATAAAAATAAATCTCTCCGGAACAAGTGTGTGTTTTGTTACACCCGTGGGAAGTCCGGGTGAGAAGTTGTCAATTACTTGCGAATCGATCTGGCCAAATTCTGTTTTGGCATTCATGTCACCGCCAGGTGACCGGGACCTCCTCGAATAATCGCTCTAATTGGGCGATTGGGCGCTTTCACAGAACACATACATTGGGAGAAAATACGTGATATGCATTTCCACCTTTCAAGGCAATTAATAAGGTAATTCGAAATCGGCGGCCACGTAAATCAGCATTATGTCGGGGGCAATGAAAATGAGCTCTAAATTCAATTACAGGCCTTGTCTACTTCGCTTTCGTAAGTCCTCACTCCCACATAAATCAAGAGTGCTGGCTGGTCCTGCTCCTGAGATGCTAATTTACGCGAGACCTGAAATGTCTTAGTAGATGCTAAGGGGCTTTGCCGCTCATAACTCACTTTGTCACATTATGCATTTAAATTTAATTTGTAATTTATGGGCGGATTTGTCGACCTTCCCGCCTGCGATGTCTGTTAATTAGAAAATCAGTTTGGAACAGCGTTGTCAGGGGTATAAGTTGCAGAGGTATTCAAATTGAATGAAGTAATAATATAATTTATTTTAAATTTAAAATATTTTTCGAAATATTTTTTTTTGTTCTTCTGGTTATATTTTCTTACTGAATAAAAAGTTTACTAACGTTATGATAATAACATCATCTTAAAACTGTCAGTACCAATGGGATTCAATAAAAAGATTTTGAAAAAACCTTACTAAATCCTCCCCCAAAAAAATCAAAGTAAATGTCTCTGCTTTTAAAATCCTCCCAAACTACTTATTTTCGACAGCATTGGCAACTATCACTTCTCTATTCCTTGTGAGTGGGAGCAGTCCTTGTTCTACCATGATACGTGGGGGGTACTCTATTAATTACACTCCATAATGGTTACTTCCGCTGGGCCACATAATAGCATAATTAATCGATATTAAATGAACATCAGTGGAACAATAAGCGCCGGAAGCCAGCCACAAAAGGTTAAATTAAACGAAGTAATTGTTACACAGCCACGGCCGTTGAAAATCGACCCCCTCTGGCAGCAGGTTCGGAAGTCCCTGAGGAGGGTTGTCCTGACTGGGTCCTTTACAATGCATAATAAACAGTCGAGCGGGCACGGAGCAAACAGAAGTGGGGAAACGAAGCTCGTTGAGATTTTGATTTTTAAACGGCCCATCGGGGGGTGGATGCGCAGGCTGGTTGGGATTCAAAAGACAAGGCTGTAAAGCGCACAAAGTCACACGGCAGGTGGCGTTGAAAATTCCGAGAGTGGGTGGGGATCTCGGCCCACAAAGTGATTTAAATGCATTTATAATGGGATAAAATTATTTACTGTCTGAGCTTGTGGTACGCAACCCCCACTCTTTTGTATACCAATCCCATTTCCACTCCGATTTGCGGTTTCAAGGGGAGGACATGAATATGCATGGATTTGCGCTTTTGATGTGCTAGCCATCAAGAAAGCATAGCCGAAAATGGGCACCTTCATCTTAACTTAACTTACGACCAACTTTAGCTTAAACTGTACATTTTTTAATTAAAATTTCTCTCGTAAAATAATAATTAATGCCCTTTTGGGGCAAGCGTCTAGATAATTTGATGGCCGGCTAAAGCCGCTTAGAATAATTTCAAAACAACAATTTGTGACTGCCTCATTTCGGAGGTCACATTTAGCATCTTATCAGAGCTTAGCAGCTGGGGTCACCACTCGCGTCGATGGCCAGCCAGCTGCGGACTGTGATTACAGCTTCTGGCGCTCCAGATGAAATTTCAGCGGTCTCAAGTGTCCATTGGGCGGGGGAATATTCAGATCCAAGTTTCGAATGGAAGGACCATAGGAATATCGATGTAGGCGCTTTGAACGAGCCTTAAAGTCCTCCTCGGAGCCAGGAAAACTGATGATTTCGTTAACCAAATGCGGCTCTGGAACAAAGAAGTCATCACCTAAGGAAACAATGATACAGTATGTATTAGGAGTTAATTCATCTATGATAAAGCTCACCTGGTAGGACAAAAACCATAGAACCATTGCAGTCATAACCCACTGGCAGGAACATAGTGGTGCCTAGTACACTACGCTTAATGGCAAACTCCAGCACGCTCTTGTAATCCTTGATTCCCATTAAGCGTGACAATTCGTAGACCTGTGGAGGCAGGAACCAAACCTCGCCGAGTTCAGACAGTCGCAGCAGTTCCAGCGGTGTTCGCCACTAGTTAATTAAGAAACAATACTGAATTAACAAGAAACTTTACAAGGAGAACCTTCTCACCAGCGTCTCCTTGACCTCAGAGGGTTCCTCCAGCAATTTGGGCAGCTTGTCCGCAAAAGCCATAAAGAAAACCGTTTCATAGCTACAAACATTCGAAAGGGAATACTTTTAAACTTTAAGTTCTAAGATAATTTAAGTAACTAGATACCCACCCCTTGCGCATGAACCCTGGACTCGCCCATGCAGACCATTCGTGGAGTGCCCACAAGTCCGGCACCACTTTAAGTTCCCGGCAGAGGGTCAGGAATTCGCTGGGTTTGTCGTGCACCCGTCGCTGCCACGCCTCCAAATCGGGGACATCCTGAGCGCAGGTCACTGCACCGAAGTCCAACTGGCTGCGACTGCGACACAGCAGCAGTCCCACCTCCTCGAAGCACTCCCTCACGGCGCAGAGTCGCAGTGTAATCTCCCTGAAGAGACAAAGGTCAGAGATTAAGCTGGTAATCTGATAAAATGAACAAGAATCTTTGGACACACCGCGCCCAAATGCGGGAACGCTTGAAGAAGCGATCGTAGCAGCCGGTTCCCTGGGGCGCCAGGATGGCAGGACGATCATCGCGGATTAGCACCAGGCGACGCAGTGCCTCCTGCGGGACACCGAACTCCTCGAAGTACTGCAGCCATTCCACGCTCTCATCGGCCTCGGAATCCAGGAGGCCACCGGGGAATACAGTCTGGTTGACCATCACCGCTGTGGCATCGCTGCGTTTTAGCATTAGCAACTACAATATTGAAATACATATGATGAAGAACCATTTCTGGTGAAGATCTCTTTATATACCTTGTAATCCTCGCTTTTAACGACTTCCCTGGACACCAGGATTACACTGGCCGACGTGCGCCACTTGGGCGGAGTAGCAGCTTGGCTCATCTCTGCAAATATTTGGATAAAATCCTTAGATTAGCTATCTAATTCCACCCACAACATAAAATCAAAATATTGTTTTGCTCCCTCCAACTCGATCAGCTGATTGGCCTGTGCCTATCGATAACGACTCCTGATGTAGGAAATGATCGATAGCCCGCTTATCAGCGCGTTGAATATTTGAAATTTGAGTTCGTGCGAAATTCAAACTTTTACCTTTTGGCCAGATTAAGCCAAAAAAGAACAAGCCAAGAACAAAAAACCCAAAAAGATTAGCTGCTCGCCACACGTGTTCGCAAACATATTTAAGCTCTGCCCTTGGACAACTAGAGACACTTGCAATTGGTGTTCCCAGTCGAAAGCAACTTGCACTTGAAATGAAAGTCTTGATCACGTTCTTGTGCCTGGCCGTGTGCCTCAGAGGCATCCAGGCGGAGGAGAGCATAGCTGATCTCCTGAAGGACAATGCCAAGGGCGTGGAGGTGGCCAATGCGCTCCTGACCAGGATAGCAGCGGTCAGCGAGGAGACACAGGCAGGATTGGCCGAGCAAAAGGAGGCTCTGAAAGTTCTGACCCTCGTGGAGGCTCTGCTGGCCAAGTTGACCCTCGCCCTGGACGTCAGCTCCCAGAATCTGGTGGCCGCCCTTCTGAACATCTCCAGGCAGGGCGAAGAGTATGGACATCGCACGGAGGCAGAGCTCCTGGAACTGGCTCGTCTGCAGGCGGGCACCAAGGAGCTGCTCAATGTGCTGGAGGCCAAAATGGATGCCTACCAGAGGCATGTGCTCCACAGTTCCCGCAACATTGACAAGAGCATCGATGGACTGGCCAAATTGATCACCAGGACGGTGCTACCTCAGCTCAATGGCCTGAAGTGCACCTTCGATAGCCTGGAGACGTCCCAGATCAACGTGGAGGTGGAGCTGAAGAACCTGGCCGGAGTCAAAGAGCTTGGCGAGAACTCCAACCACAAGCTGGACGTGCTGGAGCATCAACTGAAGCAGCTGAATCGCACCCAGGAGCAGCGCCTGGACATCCTGATCGATGCGGTGAAGCATTTGCAGCCTGTGAGTTCCTGGAAAGTGGAGGCCGCTCTGCGGGAGCTGATCATCTCCCAGAAACGCATCGAACTGGATCTGGATGAGTGCAGTCGGCACCAGCAGCCCTATTCGCAATACGGCCACCAGGACGAGTCCTATCTGCCCACCTATGCAGGTGAGACTCCAGAGCCGCAGTATTCGCAACCCAAGCCGAAGCAAGTGGATCTGGAGCAGGTGTGGAGCATCAAGGAGCCGTCGAAGCAGGGTAAGTTGGCTCTTAAAGCACCAGAATTGGTTCACAGATAATAAGGTTTTCACTTTTGCAGGAGAGTACTCCGGAGTCCACAGAGTGAGTGCCTATGCCCAGTCACCTGAACCCAAGAAGAGCCATCACAGCTCCAGCGCCGTCTCCTGGCGACCATCGCTGCCCTGGGAGAATGCCTCTCCTTACCAATCCGCTCCAGTTCACCATCACCAGCCATGGAGGCCAGCTCCTGTCTACGGCCCCACCTCCCAACCCAAGCGGAAGCCGTGTCCTAAGGAGGGGCACTCTGCTCCGGGAGCCTATGTACCCTCGCCACCTGTCCATCAATCTCCTAGTCCCCAAGCTTACAAGCTTCCTGTAGAATTCGAGCCGAAACCTAACCACGAGCAATCCCACAAACCCCAACATAACCACGAATCTAACCACGAGCAATCCTTCAAACCTCATTCTTACCAGGAGCAATCCCACAAGCCCCAACATAACCACGAACAACCCCACAATACCCAACATAACCACGAACAATCCTTCAAACCCCATTCTTACCAAGAGCAATCCCACAAACCGCAATCTTACCAGGACGAAACTTTCAAGCCTCAATCTCATCAAGAGCAATCCTACAAGCCAGAACCCATTCAGCCAGGAGAGTCATTCAGGATTTGGTACGGAGATAGTCCCATACCCCAAGGATACTGAAAATTGGCGCCCAACAACGATTTTTGATACCGATAAACCATTTAGAAACAATTCATAAATTACCCACATAGAAAATTATATTCACCATTTTAGTACATTTTTATATGATTAAAAAAATAAATAAACAATATTGCAAAAATAACTAATTCAGTTGTATTACTTTGAAGGCTCAGTACTTAAGCTATTGGCCAATTGGTCCTACTTTCCTGATGATTTATTGCTCACCAAAAAAGTTTTATAAAAATGTGTAAGGTTATTTTTCCTTTAGGGCTAGTACTCAACCCAACAAAAAGTCGTCCAAAACAAAAAACTTCAAATGAAACAAAATTTTTGACGTTTTTTTCAAATGATTTTTTTTGTTTTGGACGACTTTTTGTTGGGTTGAGTACTAGCCCTTTGGAGCCAAAATCATCGGAAGATTCCATTTCCTAAAAAGAAAATATGAAATGAAAATACTGCTTTGAAAATATGATCCCAAATCGATTCCTAATACTTTTTATTAACTTTTTTATTAATCATAAAATAAAAGCATACTCGTATTACAAAATATTTTTGTATAGGATTTTCGGGGGTTTCGGAATTCATTACATGCATAGAAGTAATTTTTTGTCATTATATCAACTTTTTAGGCAAATTTCCATGCTTTCAAAAATATATCACATGTAAGTTGCTTTTTTCGAAAGGGATCATACAAATTCTTAAAACAATGAAAAACTCGATTTTATTAATTGTAAATCAAGTGATTTGGGTAAAATAAGATAAAATTCTATTGTGGTCTTATTTTTAGAAATTAATATTCAACTCTAAAAGTAAGATGCAAGTTTATCGGCTAACAGAGGAATTTTTAGTAGAAACTGATGGACCTTTTTAAAAATTTAGTTTATAGAATCGTTGTTGTCGTATCATACTTACCTAGACCTATTTTCTGAATGAATGTTAACAAGAGGCAGCTGGGGCACGTTTGTCGGTGGTATCGCTACTACCGTTACACACAAAAAACCAGGTCAATCTGTTTCCAAAGCGAACTGTTTAGAAACAAAGAAGAATTTCAAGACGTGACAATTCCTGGATTTTCTCTAGGTTCGCCAAAATGTCGATGAACCAAAAACTATTTTGTATAACAACATGAAACATGTTTTGATTAAGATTTCTTTTTCGCCATCAGATAGTGGCAAACAGTTGTTCGCGACTATCTTTTTATTTAGATGATATAGTAGATCTCTTAATAGGGAAATAAACATAAATAGATTAGAGCAGCATTTGCAGCTGCACTAAGAAGAAGTGGGTGGTTTCTGAACTGATAGAAGTTAACCTAGTCTGAGACACGTTTTGGACCCTACGTTTGGAGCTACTTAAGGTGCACTTCACACCGAGAGAAGACACACAGCGGTGAACGTCCAGCAGAGAAGCACCATGAGAGCCCAGTTGATTTTTGTAACGATCTGCATTTACCTTTGTGGTGCCTCAGCCGAGGATCTCGACTTAATTCCCGAGATCCGTGGCGAGGTGAAAGAGCTAATCAAGGGCACTGAGGAGCTGAACATTGGATTGCAAAAAGTGAAGGACGTGCAAAAGGGCATCGAGGAGAAGTTTAAGCATCAGCGGGATGAGATCGAACTCATTGCCGAACTGGAGGTGGCTCTGGCCAAACTGGATACAAAGGTTCAGGGAAGCTTCGAAGCCACTGCCTCCGGAGTGGGAAACTTGTCTGCCCTGGTGAAAGCCATCGAGAGCCAAAATGAACAGTCCATTCAGAACCTCACCAAAGTCGAGCTGGACATCCGCAGTGCACTGGGAAAAGTGGCTGTCAATCAGAACAAATACGAACAGGATCTGGATGCGGTGGCTTCATCGGTCAACTCACATCTGGGAGAGATTCAGCAGCTACTTTCCCAGGCCATCATCGCTGATCTCATCGACTTGGACAACAAGGCAAAGGTTCTCCAGGAACAGCAGCGCAATATCGTTGGTCAAGTCGGTTATCTGGGAGAGCTGAATGCCCTGGCCGATCGTGCCAATCGCAAGGTGAACCAACTGGAGTGGGGTCTAGTTGTACTAAATCGCACACAGTCCGAGAGCCTCACTGGCATCGAAAGCACTGTCCATGGAGTCCAGGTGGCCACCTCCCAGATCGATCATAAGCTCGGTGCTCTGCTGGACAACCAGAAGAGCATTGAAAAGACCCTGGAGGGCTGCAAGCGTAAACATTCCCCACATCAAAAGCCTCACGAGGTCTGGACTCATCCGGAACATGCTCCCATCTACCAGTAAGTTTTTGAGTCGACATTTTAGTTCTCATATTTTAATTGCTTAATTGTCTCTTTAAGATCTAAGCCAGAGCAGAAACCGGGCTACGACAGCAGGTATGCCTCCGCAGAAGAAGCTGACTACCTTTACGACCTTTGGTATGGCAAGGGCCAGCAGCAGTAACTTAGATAACCTTTTAAACGAATTCTAGATAATTTTATACAATTAACTTGTTTTTTTCTAATTTGCAAGTCTACATCCTTTTAACCATCTTATCAAGAAAATTCAAAATAAATTTTAAGAAAGGTAATCGACCAATTTTTAAATGCATTTTAAACTCTGTTCTAAACTATAATGCATCAAACAAAAAAAAAAACATTTTAACAACTTATTTCACTTTCTGTATTTTTGGTCAGACCACTTATTAAAACTAGATAAATGCAATTAATATCAAAGATACAGTTTTTGTCCTTTATAACTTGGAAGGGTCAACGGGATTCACTTGACCATCATCCCGGTCAAAGTTAATCAGAATCTGTGACTGATGCTGATTCCAGTGCTCAGACCGATGCAGTTTGCCATTGGCCTGAGAACGAAATTCCTCCACTGTCAGACCAGTCTCTATTTTTTCGTTAGTAGCATCCGGATCGGCGGGATATGCCTCGTCTCCTGGCATTAGCTGTACAATTCCATTTTTGCACTGGTATAACACTGGTTGGATCAGCTCAATGCCCTTGGGCTCACGCTCGGCAGCAAATTGACGCAGACTCTCTAAGGTGGAGAAATTGAGACATCGAGATAGCTCATGGAATTGGGGAGGCGGCAACCAAAGTTCCTTTCTCAGGCACGCTTGAAGATAATCTAATGGGGAACGCCACTACAAGTAGAGATAGGATATATGTAGTTGAGTTAATTATTAAAATAGATATGCATACTATTGTAAATGCCCCCTTACCGCACAATCCTTGACCTCGTTGGGTTCGATCTGAACGCTGGGCTCCTCTTCCAGAGCGGTAAAAAAAAAGGCCGTCTCAAACCGCTTATTTTTGAAGGTGGATGGCGTGCGCCAGGCGGACCACTCGTGGAGAGACCAAACGTCCGGGAGCACATCCAGCTGCTTACAGAGCTCCAGGAACTGGCTGGCGTCGTTGTGGACAATGTGCTGCCAATGGACACGATCAAATTGATCGTAGAACTTTCCATAGCCGCTGGTGGAGGTCAATGACTTGCTGTCCCTGCACAGCAGGATTCCCAGCTCCTCAAACGTCTCCCGAAGGGCAGTTAAACGCAGGGCTAGGGATCTGTAAGGTAAGTAAAATGAAGTCATAAGGATACATTCGTAAAGACAAAGTTTAGTTACATACGGATCTATCGTTTTCTTATCTCCCTTGGCTTGGAAAATCTCCGGACGTGGTCCTTTCACGTGGCCCACAGTTTGCAGCTTGGCGGCACTTATTTCGTTTCTTCTGAAGTGGTCCAACCAGGCGGGTGAACTGTCCGTGGCATCGCAAACTCCTCCCGGAAACACCGAGGATTCCGGCATGAAACTGGACTTTTGCGTTCGCGTAAGGAGCAGGGCCTAAAGGAAAACTTGATTATGTTATAACTGCTTTTAGGCAAAGATAAACTACTACTCACATTGTAGTCAAATGATTTGGCTTTCGCTGCTTGGTCCTTGGCCAGCAGGATCAGGCTGGAGGAGGATCGGATTTTGGGCAAAAGCTTCGACATGTTCGTTTAGGTAACACGGCGATTTCGATAACGTGGCAGGTGTCATCGATTACTCGCCAGCTGTTGTTTACATCTTTTAAAAATACCCAGCACCTGTTGAAGAAATTGGGTATGATGTTTTTAATCACGATTGAATCAAAAATTTCAAAATATAAATATACAAAATTTGTAATTAAGTTGAAAAATTAAATATTTAAAATTATAAAGTGAATTATACAAATCGTGTAATAATAATCTTTAGATTGATCAGTTATAATTCCTATATTCATAAACAAAGGTATCCAAAAGTCGTATCACTTGATCTAAGCATTATAGTTGTTGTTCCTAAGCTTTAAGATCAAAGGTTTGTGGAAGTGGATCGGGAATCTAATGGCTTTGGACTCTAAACTATGGGGGCTACTACACAAACTGGATCCTACAGACCTTCTGCTAGCTTAATACTGGCTGCCAAAGAGGATTCCATAAAGGAGTACGACTACAGGGTGAGTAAAATCTTAGCAAGGATCAACATTATTTTAACATTTTACCTCTCGCCAAAGTTACTTCTGATTAAAAGAACTGAAGGGACATCTTATGCATTGAATCACTGCGTCTTCCCAGGCGGAGTATTCGATCCTAAAGAGGATGAATCTCCGGAATGGATAACCTATTTCAAATCCTTTGGGGTGACTGATGAGCAGTTAAAAAGGCTCAGTCACAATCAGGAGTCTCCAAGGCCCGAATTTCTATCTGACGGAGAGCACTTTTCGAGGGACATTGCACTGCGACTGACTGCGCTGAGGGAATCCTTCGAGGAGGTGGGCATCCTGATCTGCACCAATCAAGCTGACTTTAAGGAATGGGATTCTAAAACGAGTCATCCTCGTACATTGCTCCTCGAGCCAAGCGAGCGCTCCGAGTGGCAGCATAGAGTACACAACAATGCCTCACAGTTCCTGGCACTCTGCAGGCATCTTAATGTCATTCCCAACCTCTGGTCCCTTCAGGAATGGTCCATTTGGCGGACAGCAGCCACAGCCAATCGGAAATATGACACTGTATACTACGTTACCGCGGTGGATAAACAAGCAAAGGATGTTAGTTTGCTGCTGGAACCACACGAGGTGGCCTCCGCCCATTGGATGAGTCCGGCGGAGGCCTGGTCAAGCTCACACGCCGGCACCATTTGGCTCCCGTTCATGCTGCTCTACGATATTGCCCGTCTGATGAACTTGCATAGCTGGCAGGACTTCCTCGACTTTTCCCGCCAACGGAGTTCCCGAGGAGGCACAATGGTGCAGCCGGTTTATTATCGCTGTGATGACTGCATGTTTGGAGTGCTTCCTGGAGATGAACTCTATCCCAAGGAACCCGGCGCTTGCAGAGAAACAATCATCTTGTCGGGATCGGTGAATGAACTTCATCGAAAGGCCAAGCGGTACAACCGCTATATAGTCTACGATTTCCACCAGGTCGTGCTGGCATCCAATATCCCACCCTGCGATGGTCATCTGCCACTGCAGCCACTCGTCAATACCAAGCTGGCAAAGTTGTAGTACAAATTTAGAGTGTTTGAGTACAAATATATATATTTTTTTCTACAACAATTTACCGCTCTCCAGCTCCGCCTGTATGGAAAGGCAGGCGTGGCACAGCCCATCTTGCGAGTTCAGTCGCTTTTTGGCCAAACCCTCGAGGTCTTCTCCGTTCTTATACAGACCCACACCGGCTTCTGAAACGGATCTGGAGTACTCAATGGCCAGCAGGGTGTCGGAGAGCGTGGAATCCAGCGAGGATTGGCAGTGAAGACAAGAGGTCTGCTCTGGATGGGTATTAACAGCTATTTTGTCGCCAGTTCGGAAGACTGTGGACACGGTGGAGGAGTAGTTCTGCTGCAGGTTAGCTACAAAGGCGGTCGTGAGGTTCTGTAGGCTGGCAGTCTGTCCACGCTCCTGCCCATAACGAGAGCCCCTCTGGATCAGCGGCTTCAGTCGCTGTGCATGTACATAGAATTGAATCTCCTGCTCCGTTAGATCCTTGAGGGGTCGCAGTAACTTGACTTCGCCAGCCAGCCGATCGTCGAGGAGAGCCACATCCAAGGCGGCACTGCCTCCACGTCCGAGGGCTATCGCAGTCAGCAACTGGGTGGCCAAATCCACACTTATACTGGGCTCGAAGACATGAGTGCATTGCAGATTCTGGGCCACCGAGGCAATAAGGTTCTTGCGCTGCTGCTGCAGGTAATCCTGACGAGCTGTCAGGCAGCGCAGCTTCAGGAGCTTCTGGTCAAGCTCATTGGCTTCCCTAGGGAAAGTTCTGTAGTCCTTGATCCGCTGCAGGGAGCTGGGCAAGGCGCCCAGCTCAATAACATGGAACTCAAATGGTGCATATTGTGTGGATAAACTCTGGAGTGCTTCCACCTCCACAGGATCGCGACCCTGCAATTGCTGATCCTCCACGTAGACCACGCGGGCATTGCAATGCAGTCTTTTGAACGTGTTTTGTGTTTGTGCGAAGTGCAGCATGTCCAGGAGCACCAGAGACTCCGCCGAACCGTCCAGCACCAGGAGCACCTCGGCGTTTCTGGGCAGGATCTTGGCTGCACCCAGGGCGGCCCGGAACTTGTGCCTGGCGAATGCGAGAAAGCAGTCACGGCACTCCGCGGTCCGGAAGTTCAGTTTGTAGAGCTGGCCGGAGGTTACACCGCATTTGTTGCAGTCCCCGGGATTGAGCACGATTCCCGAGGGCAGGGATTCCGCCACCATGGCGTGGGCGGCTCCCTCGTCTCCGAAATCATCTTCGCCGATGCTGCACATGGCAATTATTTACGTCAAATTAAATTAATACCGAATTTCACAGATAAACGAAATGTCCAGGGATGCAGACGAAAATACATCGTGATAATCTAGCCGTTTTCAAGCTACATTTTGTATATCATAAATAAATAAGAACAAAATAAAAATACAGTGAATAGAAAATAGTCCGTTTTAAGATATTTTTTAACAAATATTTTTAGTTTTCCTTACAATATTATAAATATAAACGTAAAAAGTTTCAACTATACTTTTTAAATTCTAGCTAGTCTATAGCTTACGATAGTTGGCAGCACTGGTTCGAGGGCAAGCTTATCGATGAGCAGGCGATGTATCGACTACGCAGCCTAGACTCGTCAAAAAGCAACCTTGCAACAGGAAAAGTGCAGTGAAAATTACAAAAATAGCTGTTTAAACCTAAATTTGTTGTACAAATATTATTCATAAGTTATATTTAAGGCTTGAGGTACGTGCCGTTGGTGTTTGTGTGGGGAAAGGGCTAGGGAAAACCCATCAAATTTGGGCGCAAAAAACTGGGTGCTGCTGATACGTATGTGTGCGAGGTGCCTGCGTGTCTGTGTGTGTACGTGCTGCCTGGCTGTGTGCGTGCGTCGTGCTCGTACGCAAGCAAAAAGTATCGGGTAGCAAAATCGAGAAACTTTCTTATTGACGATAGCCGAGCGAGAAGAAGAAGCAGCAGCTCTCAGCAGCTCTGACATTTAATTGAAAGGGCAGGGAAAAATTGCAGCGAAAAGTGAAATAAACGCGGATATTCCAATTGCAGAGGACTCAAGCAGAAGAGCAAGTCAAGCCGGAAGTCAAGAGTGCGTCTAAGTCCCAGTAGAATCGTCGCCTGAGCGGCAGAGGTCAACTTAAAAATACATTTTCGGGCGTGTGTGTGCCCCCCGAGCACGATTAACCCCCCACCCAGATTAGCCCAGACCAACGCAACTAAAGCAGCAGCCCCCAGCCAAAAACAAGAAGCAGTAGCAACAACCCGCCTCAGAATGATTCTGGAGAATTCGGACAAGCTCAAGGATTGGCTGAGCGTGGTCCTGGAGCCACTGTAAGTCCTGGTTTTCCACTTCCACTTGGAAAAACTCCTATCTCACACTTACATCTTACTTTATAGCTGCGATGCGGACTCTTCGGCCTTGGCGCGCTATGTGATTGCGCTGCTGAAAAAGGACAAATCGGACAAGGACCTCAAGCGGATCATGATCGAGCAGCTGGATGTCTTCCTGTCCGAGGAGACGACGCGCTTCGTGGAGCGCCTCTTCGATGCCATTGCCAGCGAGGAGTACCTGACGGTGCCTGCCGCCCCCCTGATAACGGCCTCCAGTGCCTCCGCCGCTGAGCTGGATCTCGACCAGGAACTGGCCCTGGCCATCGATGGGGCCCACGAAGACATCGAGGCCGTGCTGGCCGCCGATTCCCCGCCGCCGCCGCCGCCTAAAGAGAATGTGATACACCCAGATAGCAATCAGCAGGTCAGCCACGATGCCAGGGAAGCCGAGGCGCTGGCCTTTATCAGCCAGGAAGCCTCCACAGATGCCAAGCCAGCCTTCGATGTGAGTTCTTTTTCGGCTCTTACTCACAGCAGATAATGTAACTTTTTTTCCCCGCAGCACAAAACCAAAGAGTCACAGTCCGCCTGCAGCTACCAACACCACCATGTGCGCAGTGCCAGTCCACCGGGCAGGAGCAGCGGCGTCAGCGGAGGAGCGGGCGGAGGAGCAGCAGCCCTGACAACGGGCTATGCCGACAAGGAAAACCAGCCGCGCGACAGCCGCCGGCGACGTGCTTCCCTTCGGTCCCGTTCCCGCTCCCGCTCGCGTTCCAACGAGCGCGCCTTCCGACGATCCAGGTCACGCGACCGACGGGTCAACGAACGCGAGAAGACACAACGACAGTTCCGCAACAAATCCCCGCCAGGCTCGCAGACCGACAATCGGCATCATGGCCGGCGCAACTTTGATCGCCGGCGCATCGGTGGCAATGCAGATGAGCGGCCTCGATTCGGGAACAACAAGAGCCGACGCTCCCACAGTCGATCGATGTCGCCCGAGCGAAATGCACGGCGCAATCAGAACTCCCCGGAGCGAGCACAAGCTGGCCAAGCGAATCAAGTTCCCGCTCCGGTGGCGGCGCCCACGCCCGTCGAACATCCGGCTGCCCATCCTCGCCAGCGCTGTCGGGATTTCGATGAGAAGGGCTACTGTGTGAGGGGCGAGACATGCCCGTGGGACCATGGAATCAACCCCGTGGTGTTCGAGGGCATCAACAACTCGGCTCTGATGATGTCCATGCGAGAGTACAATCCGGATGCGCCCGAAATTTGGGCGCGAGGCGGTGGACCGCCACCTGGAGCTGGACAGGGAGCAGTGCCGCCGCCAACGCAGCCGGGACAGACCACCATTAATCCGTTCAGCGGCAATGTGCGACCCAGTACGCTGATGCCCGGTTCTGGGCCCAATCCCATGGGCGTTCCCAATCCCGCTGACTATGCCCGCAATCCAGGCGCTCCGCCTCAGTCCGCCATGATGCCATTCCCATTCAATCCCACTGCGGTGACCACTCCTCTGCAGCGTCAACTGATACCCATTCCCGTCGTGGATGGCGCTCCGTCCGGCGGCGTGGCCGAGATTGGCAAGCGACGTTTCGAGCTGGAGGATACGGTGGCCATAGCCGATGTGCCGACGAAGCGAAAGGTGCCGATCAACAGTCGCCTGGGACCACGGGTCAATCCCAATATGCAGCAGCACAACAGCTCGCTGGAGCTGCGGAAGGTGCCGCGCGGCCTGAACACCATTGCCCATTTGAACAACCACTTTGCCAAGTTCGGCAAGATCGTCAACATCCAGGTTTCCTACGAGGGAGATCCCGAGGCAGCTATTGTGACCTTCTCCACGCATGCGGAGGCGAATGTGGCCTACAGGAGCACGGAGGCGGTGCTGAACAATCGATTCATCAAGGTCTTCTGGCACAACGACACCAGCGGAGCGGATGTGGGCCAGATGAATCAGATGGGCGGCGGCGGAGGAGGCGGCGGTGGAAGGAAGAACGCGAGCCAGTACCATCTGCACAATGTTCCCGCTGTTCCCACGCCCAATGCTGATAGTGCGAAGATCAGCAACGCCAATCCTTTGACCGAAACGGGGGCGGGCAACATTGGCACACCCACTGCGGAGCAGGCCAGCACAGCGGCTCCCGCCTCCATGCGTCTCAAGTTGAACACGACGAACCCGGCGGGCGGCGCAGCTGGAGGAGCAGGTGGTCCGGGCTCCGGTCGTCCCCATCCGGCTGCCAATGCCGCCAGCATACGCAAGAAGCAGGAAGAGCAGCAGAAGGCGGTTCACCAATTGGCCAATGGGCTGCGCAAGCGCAAAGGGGAATTGCTGCAGAGCTACATGAAACAGATGAAGACTGCCTTGGAACTCGTAGAGCGGATGGACCAGCAGGATGCCCAAAGGGCGCCCACCCTGCAGACAATCAAGGTGCTGCAGATGACAATCGACAAGCTGGGCAAGGAAATCCAGGCCGACCAAGATCAATTGCAGGCACAAATCCAGCAACAGCAGCAGCAGCAACAGCCGCCGGTCAAGAAGACCAAGGAGCAGCAGAAGAAGGAGCTGCTCGACATGGAGCTGGAGCTGATTGCCCAGCAGCAGGAGGGCAACGACACGACGGCCCTGCAGAAGCGACTGGAGGAGCTGCAGCGCAATCTAGGCGTTGGCGGAGGCCCAGCCGCAAACAACAAGCCCGCCCACTTTGCAGCAGCTTCGGGGGCACCCGGTGGCGGAGCAGGACGCAAGCGTCCCAATCTGCCCGAGGGACCCACGCGCGTCGATAGGCGACCCAAGGCCATTGTGGTCACTGGCTTTGCGGCCGAGGAGGCTGACTTTGTCCTGGGGCACTTCAAGGTGAGCTTTGTTGTCTAAAAAAACTATGGTGAATATATAGGGCAGCGCACTAAATGTCAAAAACTCATCGTGTTAAAAACACGCTGTGTAAAAAACACGTCGTGTAAATAACACAATTGACATGTGTGTCTTATTTATGTTTCTAACATATGTCAAAAACTCATTGTGTTAAAAACTCATTGTGTTAAAAACACGCTGTGTAAAAAACACGTCGTGTAAATATATTTATGTTTCTAACATATGTAGGCTACAATTTGTAACACACATGTCAATAACTTTTTAACATTTAACACGTTAATAACACAGGTTATTTACAGTGAGTGTTATTTTCCGAACCCTGCATTAAACACACTTATTGATCAACTATTAATTTAATCTCCCACAGAACTTTGGCGAGATTTCTAAGCACGATGTTGACCGTGAGATTCCACAGTTGATACTCTCGTTTGCGACCCGTCTCAATGCCGAACAGGCGGTGCTCCGAGGAAAAATGTACAAAGACAAGCGCCTGCAGGTATGTAAGGATTACCTTCAGAATAAGGCACTCTAATAATATGATTTGCAACCATAGATTTCGTGGGCGCCCGTGGTGACACCCGCACCGGCTGCTCCGATGGCGGCCCCGGTTGAGAAGTCCACCGCACCAGTTGCCATGGCCGTTAGCCTAGAGAACCCAAAACAGTTGATCCAGTCCGTCAGCGAGAGCGAGAGTCTGTTGGGCAGCGACACGCTGCCGGAGCTGCGCCTGGAGGATGAGGAGGAGGACGAGGAGTCCGAGGATCGTTCCTGGCGTCGTTGATGCATCGCCCTGCGCTGCTGAGGCGGCCGGGGAAGCTTCGAGTGGCTCACAAGTGTTAGGGAACCCTTAACATGTATTTGTTGTTATTCTATATCTAACTGCGGAGTGTGCGGCGGTGCCAGGAACGGAGGAGCACAGCGAAGCACTCTGCACACTCTCTGCATAATTAAACGCTCTAAATATTACTAATATTTTACTGAACATAAGTTATGAATCGCATACAAATACGAATGAGTTTAGCTAAGCCTAAGTCCGAAATAACACAACACTGAAACTACAACTTCAAACGCGAAACGCAACCAACTCCAAAACATTGGTTAAAGATCGTGAACTACCTTTGTATTTACACATTTTTCACTCTATCCTTTTCTTACATACAAATATATATATGCAGATATATAATTGTTAAGATTTTATGTTGAGTTAAAACGATAAAACACTAAAAGAACAAAAAAATTGCAAAGAAAAAATCCCCAAAAACAAGCGCAATGAAAAGTCAAAAAAAGAAAAAAATCGTAGCAACGTGAATGCAAAACAGCAAGTTATATAGAGAGATATAATAAATAAAATAAATAGTTTCGTATTTCAGGAAAAACAAAGCTTTCAATTGGTATGTGGGGTGGGGAAAGTAAATTAAATAATAAAATCAGGGACCGTAAATAATCATTATTTGAGATTTTTATTTTAAAAGGCCTACTGAGGTTTTTACAAGTTTTAATCAACAATTTAAGTGGTTTTTATGCACTTTATAGACATGAACAAATAACAGTTAATTTGCTTTCCAGATTTGTTGAAATGCATATACTTTGTGGACAAGAGTAAAAATAACGTTATTTTTGACGTTTAAAACAAAATATCACAGTAGTCTTTTTAAAATAAAAATCTCAAATAATGATTATTTACGGTCCCTGAATAAAATAAATTAAAAATCATAAATTAGAATTTTTCAAAAAGCGCGCTCAGTTGTATTTTGCGTGACCAGTGGATAAAAACAACATATCGATGCTTGAAAGGAAAGCATCGATAACATTTATCGATAAAACTACTCTTCATATGGCGCGATTAAATGTTTTATTTTCTTGCGAATTTTTTTGAATGAAAGCTGTCTTGAAATGTTTTCGCCCCCTGGTTGTCGCACACAGATGCTACTGCGCTAATCCCGGCCAGCAGATGAAGTTCCTCAACGTGGCGGAGAAGAACGATGCCGCCAAAACAATTGCCGGTTTGTTGTCCAATGGCGCAGCTCGAAGGGTAAGGAATTCGGTAGGAAATATAGGATATCCAGATGAATAACTTATTTGTTAACCTGCTACAGCGCGAGGGCTACTCGGTGTACAACAAGGTCTTCGATTTCGAGGCGCCGGTGCGTGGCCAGAATGCCAAAATGGTCATGACCTCCGTTTCCGGCCACCTGATGCAGCTGGAGTTCCAGGTGTCGTACAGAAATTGGCGCGTGGTGGATCCGCGCTCCCTGTTCGATGCGCCGATCAAGAAGTCCGTGGGCCCGGACTACGAGCCCATCAAAAGGACCCTGGAGCGCGAGGTGCGCGGCTGTCAGGGGCTGATTGTCTGGACGGATTGCGATCGCGAGGGCGAGAACATTGGCTACGAGATAATCAATGTGTGCAGGGCCATCAAACCGAATCTCACGGTCTACCGTGCCACCTTCTCGGAGATCACCACAATTGCAGTGCGCCGGGCTCTGCAGCAGCTGGGCCAGCCGGACAAAAGGCAGAGTGATGCCGTGGATGTGCGCTCCGAACTGGATCTGCGGACAGGAGCGGCCATCACCCGATTCCAAACGATGCGCCTGCAGCGCCTCTTCCCCGAGAAGATCGCCGACAAGCTCATATCGTATGGGAGTTGCCAAATTCCCACTCTGGGATTCGTGGCCGAGCGCTACAAGGAGGTGGAGGCCTTTGTCTCCGAGCCCTTTTGGAAGATTAAGGGTAGGAGTGATTGCTAAACTGATATTTAAATAATTCTACAGCTTGGTTTTAATTTGTATAGTCCTGCACACCATTGATGACCTGACGGTGGAGTTTAATTGGGCCCGAAACCGTCTGTTCGACAAGGAGGCCTGTGAGAACTACCTCCTACTCTGCTTGGCCGAGCCAGCTCCTCGGGCGCTGGTCGAAAGCGTTACCGTGAAGCCCAAGCACAAATGGCGGCCCACTCCGCTGGATACGGTGGAAATGGAAAAGCTTGGCTCAAGGAAACTTAAGCTCTCGGCCAAGGAAACAATGACCATAGCTGAGAAACTGTATAGCAAAGGTTTCATCAGCTATCCCCGCACGGAAACCAACCAGTTCTCCAAGGACTTCGCTCTAGCGCCGCTCGTTGAGATGCAAATGGGTCACCGCGACTGGGGAGCATTTGCCCAAAGGGTAATTGAGTGGGGCCCGAATCCTCGCAACGGCAATAAATCGGATCAGGCGCATCCTCCCATTCATCCGACTAAATTAGCGGACAGTAAGTTAATTATTACTTAAAGCTTAACATACTTTATAATATGTTCCCTTAGATTTACAGGGAAACGAGGCTCGTGTGTACGAACTGGTGGTGCGACACTTCCTCGCCTGCGTCAGCAAAGATGCCGTCGGCTCGGAAACCCTAGTTCACATTGACATTGCCGGCGAGAAGTTCACCGCAAATGGTCTGGTTATTCACGAACGCAACTACCTGGACGTTTATGTGTACGACAAGTGGAGCGCCAAGCAGATTCACCACTACGAGAACGGTCAGCGCTTCGAGCCCACGGAGGTGTCGCTGCACGAAGGAGCCACCACTGCGCCGCCCTTGCTGACCGAAGCGGATCTGATTGCACTGATGGAGAAGCATGGAATTGGCACGGATGCCACGCACGCTGAGCACATAAATACGATCAAGGAACGCGGCTATATCGGAGTGCTGGACAAGGGCTTCTTGGTGCCTGGCGTTATTGGAATGGGTCTGTACGAGGGTTACGATGCCATGGAACTGGCCCTTGCCAAGCCGCAGCTGCGCGCGGAGTTTGAATCGGATCTGAAACTCATTTGCCAGGGGCAGAAGGATCCCAAGGTCGTGCTGACCGAACAGATTGCCAAGTACAAGCATTCGTACCAGCAGATTACCGACAAAATCACCGCCATGGACGCCAAGATAGCGGCTCGAATCAATGAGACGCCTGCCGCGAATTCTTCGGGTCCCGAAGGATCCGATCAGAACCAAGCCACAATGCAAACGCTCTTCCAGTGCCCCAAATGCAATGAGGCGCCGCTGGCACTGAAGGCCAAGAAGAACCAGCAGGGCTGGTTCATTGGCTGCAACAATTTTCCGGACTGCAAAAACGTCGTGTGGATGCCAGCGGAGTGCAAGGACGTCTCGGTGCTGGATGAGTGCTGTCCTAATTGTGGAGATGGCCACCGAATGCTCAAATTCCGCCTGAGCACGCCGTACTATCGCGGCGTATTCAATACACCCCACGGTTGGTACAAGACCTGCCTGCCCTGTGATAATCTCTTTCGGACCACTTTCAACATTAATTTGGATTCAGTGAAGAGAGTGGGTGGCATTGTGGGCGAGGCCAGAGGTGGAGGATGGGGTCCTGGACCGGGAGGAGGAGGAGGAGGAGGTGGTGGAGGTGGCTCTGGAGGAGGAGGTGGTGGTGGTGGTCCTGGAGGAGGAGGTGGTAGCTCTGGAGGATGGGGTAGTGGCAGTAGCGCGAGTTCCGGAGGTGCTCGGAAAAATCCGCCACCAGGAAAAGGAAATAAAACCGACAGCGGACCTAAAAAACCAGCCACCAAGAAACCATCAAGCGAACCTAAGCCAAAAAAGGCACCGAAAACCACTGTCAATAAAAATCCAACCACAAAATCATCCGGGAGACGCAGCTACTTTACCAGTGCAACCAGCACCAACGAACTAGATGGATTCTTCGATAGCAACGATGGCTTCGAGGATGCCATGTTGGCTGCTGCTGACTCCGTTAAATCGAGCACAAGTCAACCCAAAAGCGCCAACTTGGTTCCCCTGGATGACGACATAGCCGCCGCCTTTGCCGCGGACGATGATGCGGAATTCGAGGCGCTGGTGAACGGAGGGAATGTGCAGTCCGATATGGATAAAAGTCTCACGCAATGGGTGCAGGAGCACGACGCGGCGGATGATAGACCCATGGTGTGGGGAAGCAGGGAACGCGCCTCCTTGGGTACTGCTGCTCCCACTCCTCCACCGAAACCGGCAGCCAAACGACCGAGGTGGGATAGTGCCGAATGGGATACGCCATCCGCAACGGCAGCCGAGCCGGAAACAGTGCTTTGCACGGGATGCCAGCAGCCAGCTCGCCAGAACACCGTTCGCAAGGATGGACCCAACCAGGGCAGGCTGTTCTACAAGTGTCCCAAACCGGATGAGTGCAACTTCTTTCAGTGGGCCGATGAGCCAGCATCCTCAACCGCTCGGAGCACTGCCAGCTCTTCCTCCTGGGGCACCAATCGAGTGGTTACTCTTCCCAGTATTCAGCAGGGCAATTCACAGCGTGGCCAATCTTCAATGCGATCAAACTCCAGCAGCACTGTCACCATTACTCAAACCAAAACGAAAAAGAACGATAGGAGTTCGGCGACCACTTCTCAAGGAGATGGAGACCAGGTGATGTGCAACTGCGGCCAGGTGGCCAGCAGTCTGACAGTCCGGAAGGATGGACCCAATCAGGGCAGACCCTTCTTCTCGTGCCCCACGCGAGAAAAGTCCTGCGGTTTCTTCAAATGGGGAGATGATGAGCAAAACCAAGGTGATTATAAATTCTATGATATTTATTCCTTATAATTCTTATGAAATTTATTTCAGGTGCCAGTAGCAGTTCTAGTTTCGCTTGGGGATCAGGCAATCGGAATCCTCCTAGTCGTAGTCAACCTACGGCTTCCACATCAGATGCCCCAAAATCACGTCGTTGTGGACTTTGTCGGAAGGAAGGACACACCCGAAACAAGTGTCCGCGCAAAAATGACTTTGATATGTAGTTGCACAAGGCATCTGGAGAGGTATTTTTATGTACATTGTATATAAAGTTAATAAATAAGTTTTTTTTCTATGAAATATTAAAAAGTATTAAGTTTCACACAATAAGCTGTTGAGTTCATGGCATAAAAAACAAATCCCACAACGCCCCTCGATTGAAAAAACACAATATTCTACATTTTATAATTTTAAACATTTATTGGAGCGAGCTTATTATATTGCAATGAGATGAAAAGGTCAAGGATCAGTTTCAAGGTCCACTCAATTCACTTTTAGCGAGGATTGGAAATGTAAAATACACCAAGTTATAAAAACTTATGTACAAAGAGTAAAAAGTTATTTAAGCGTAACTTGAAAAGCACAGAAACGCGAAAACAGATTTAAAATGAAATACTTGGAATGTCGTTACTTGCGATTACATATTTATATTTAAACATATATATTTTCGTTTGTAATATATGTATGTTCCTAACCCTAATCCGATTTGGTTATATCATAAATATTTAATAGGTTTCTTTATTGGAAGAAGTAAAATTCGTTAGAAAACAATCACACTTAATGTAGTTTAGCTTTTGTCTGAAGATAATTGCATTTAAAAAATATATAAATAATTGTTAATAAATAATTGGTAAAATAAATTACTGAACAGTTTGAGATGCATTGGAACGGTAGCGAGTCTGCGAAGAATACCATTAAGTACAGTACGTTTGCTTAAACTAAAGATAAGATAAATATATGCGATGTTGAGCCTAAAAAGGGCAGTATGGAAAAATGCATTGTAGAGTTTGGAATGGTTTAAGTACAGGTCAACAGATATGGATGAACATTTCCAGCTACTGTTTTTCTTTTGGATCGAATTACTTTTTTTAAGAAGTTCAGGTTCAAGGAATTTTAGATATAAATGATTCAACATTTAGATTTCGACTTCCGGCGTGAACTGGCGTCAGAAGTAGATCTCCTCTTCCTCGGGCTTTGCTCGCGGAGCTGCGACAGTTCTTGCGATTCCCGTCCGGCTGCTCGTCGGTGTCCGTGAATAGTGGACTGCGGATTCTGCTCGGGTTACTGCGGGATTCTGAGTGGGAGTGGCCGCCGCTGTCGTTGTCTGCTGGATGATCGCCGGCGAGCTTCCCGTTCGCGAGTGCTGCGGCACTATTCCCGCGGGAGTCGAGGGCGTGGCTATCCTCCGATCAGCCAGCTTAAGCGGAAACATCTGCTGCACACTGCCGGAGGAGGATGAGGAGGAGTTGTAGGGTGCCGGAGAGGCGCTATTGAAGCTAGCCGACTTGTCCACGCGGGGGCTGGAGTTACCAGTCGACGACAGCGAAGAGAGCTTCATGGGCAACTTCTGTTTAACCAGCGTGGCGTTGGCCTTGGGTGCATTATTAGCACTGAGCAGGTTTACAGGCGGCGTCTTGCAGTTGGAGGGCCCGCTCAGCCACCGCTCCTTGCGCCGATCCACGGTGCCAGTCACACTGGGCGTTCCACTCAATCCATTGTCCGTCTCATGGTTGTCGTCCAGCAGACTGACGGGTGGCGGATGATTGGTGTTGACAATGGGCAGTGGAGTGCTGGGCGAAAGCAAGAGGCCCTGACTGGACAGGAGTTCCATCTTCCTGTACAGCTGTTCACGCTGCTGACGCACATCCTCCTGCTCCGCTTTGATCTGCTTTTGCAACTGCAGCTGCTGGGCCCGCATCTCGGCGAGCTCCTCTTGCTGCTGCTTCTGCTGGCGCTGCCAGGCGGTCTTCTCCTCCTGCTGCTTGTCCTGCAAATTGCGCAGCTCCTCCAGTTGATCCTTGTGCGTGTAGGCACTCGAGCGGGGACTCTCGCGGTACAAAGCCAACTGGAGTTGCAGGTTGTGGATGCTGGTCATCTGCTGGGAGATGATGCACAGCAGAGTCTGCAGATGGTGCGACACCTGGAGCACCGCGTAATTGTTCTCCAGCTCCGGCTGATTGACCGCCTTTGGTTCTCGCTTCTCCTCCAGTTCCTGCAGCCTTGGCGTTAGCACCAGCTTGGCGGCCAGCTTGCCGCGTTTCTCGTCGAAGCCGGCAAAGGTTTCCGCCCGCTTGGGCAAAGTGGGCGAGGCGTACTGCTCGCTCTGCTTCTCGCCCACGCTGCTCAGCGTTCGGGACACCGGTTGACCCGTGGCCGCCGTGTAAATTGTAGAAGCCAGTTGGCTGATGTCCTGCACTGTGTTTAGTACTCTGCGCCACAGCTCAGTTGTATCGCAATCGGCGCTTACGAGATCCTTGTAGGAACCGAAGGCTGCCAGGAAGTTGGCCGCACTGCCATTCGAATTGCCGCCTGGCACATCGCCAAAGGGCTGTTGCTCTTTAAGAAGATTGAACTGCAGCATCAGCTTCTCCTCCAGCAGCAGCGCCTGTTCAATATCCTTCTGCCGCATCTTCTCGATGGTTTCCCTCTTGTTCACGCCTATTCGCAGCTTCTCCTCGGCCGTCAGATCCTCCGCCTCGATGATGTCCGTGGCTGGACAGTCGAGCACAGCCTGACGAATGGTTTGAATCCAGGTATTCTTGTCCTTCGGCGTCTGCACTTTCAGCTCGTACATCTCGGGAAAGTCGGGGTTGGAGGATATGATGTATATTCCGCGGGATTCGGTGCCCGCCTTTTCGCGGATGAGAAGTTTCTGGAGTGGAACCACACCGGCCTTGTGTTCCGGCGTAAAGAACGAGTACTTGTTGTGCCCCGAGTTCTCGCTGAGAAAGCACAGGCAGTCGGTGAGGACCACCACCAGGACCAGCTGCGTCTTGGCCCTGCCCTGCATGAGGGTGGCCAATCCATCGAACTTCAGGCGACGTCGCGACTCCACGCCGAGCTCCGTTTTGCGGAAGGGCTTGTTCTTGTAGATGGCAAAGGATTTGGCATCCACGCGACCGTAAATCTCCAGCTGTCGCTCGCGCAACTCCTTCTCCGCCACACAGGCATCCACATCGACTAGGAGGGACTTGACCAGATTCAGGGCATGCTGCAGCTTGTCCGTCTCCAGCTTGTTGTCCCTCGCACTCTTCAGCAGCGGTTCGATTAGCAGGGGATATTTCGTGAGGCGCTGGGTGACAAACAAGATGCACTCCGGGATGCCCTTCTTCTTGAGCAACGGATTCTGCAGACAGTGCTTGTACCACTCGGCGAAGCTCGGCTCGGTCAGGCAGAGCTTGAACTGGTCCAAAGCGCTGCGGTGGTTGGCGCAGAACTCGCCGTAGGCCAACCGCAGGCATTGGGCCTGCTCCAGCGAGAAGAAGTCCAGCAGGATGTCCGCAATGCTGTCCACCATGGGCTGCTCGCGCTGCTTGAGTCGCAGCTGGCGCAGGAAGCAGGTGTGCAGATCGGTGAGCTGCTGCAGGCGCGGAAACATGCTGTTGAGGTTCAGGGAGGGGAAGTGCCGCTCCAGACTCTCCACGAAAACCTTCTGCATGACGATCAGCGTCTGACAGTGGTGCTTCTCGGTCATAATGAACTCGTAGATATGCTCCTGCCGCTTGATTTGCAGTTCCTTGAGCGTTTTGAGCAGCTCCCGGGGAATATTCGGCGTCCAGGAGTCGTGTTCTTTCAAAACGATTCCCAAAGCGGGATCGGCTCCCAAATCCTGCGCTTCGATGGGCGGTTCGTTGAGAAACTGCAGGTCCGAGCGGATGAGCGGCTCCTCTGGGTTGCTAAAGGTGTTCGCATCGGGGCCGTCGTAAAAGTCCTGCCCGCCCGCCATCTTCTTCACCTTGCACTCCAGGTGATGCTCCTTAATCTGCGCCAGTGTGATGGCCGCCCCGCAAACGTCGCAAGCACTCAGTTGTCCTCCCACCAGGGACTTCGTCTTGGCCTTGGGCTTCTTCTTGCGAAAGAATATGGAACCGCGCTTCGGACGCTTCTCTACGTTGTCGTAGACCTCGATCTTTGCGTGGGCCCGCAACAGGCTTTGGTTTTCATCCTCGCTGTCCGTGAGGTGGCGTGCGATCGCCTTGATGTCCTCCTTGGCGATAATGGAGCTCGTCGATATGCTCTTCTGCAGCGGTATTCGGCTGATGATCTCCGTCGCGAGGCTCCGTTTGGCCGCAATCCTCTCGAAGTCACGGGCCAGCTCCGCCTCGTTTAGCGAGTGAGTGGAAATGCCTGCAAGTGATCAGAGACTTGGTTAGTAATTACTAATCGCTGGGGTTTCTATTCGCATGTCGGGGCCAACAATGCCAAAGCTCTACAGGGGCTTCCAGATAACGGGCTTTTGTGGAATTCCTTATCGAAATCGAAACTAACTTGGTAACAGCCCCTACGCTTTGGTTCGGTGGCATATCTATTTCAATCGAACAGTTGCTAAAAGTCACTTTTAAAGGGTCTAACCTTTTGGCGAAGGTAATCTATTAAAATATATTTGTAACTATCGCAGTAATTATAAGTTATCAACTTAGGAAAACATTTTAAAATAAATCAGGGACCGTAAATAATCGTTATTTGAGATTTTTATTTTAAAAGGTCTAGCGAATACAAGTTTTAATCAACAATTTGACTCGTTTTTATGCTCTTTATAGACATGAACAAATAACAGTTAATATGCTTTCCAGATTTGTTGACATGCATATACTTTGTGGACAGGAGTAAAAAGAACGTTATTTTTGACGTTTAAAACAAAATATCACAGTAGCCTTTTTAAAATAAAAATTTCAAATAGCGATTATTTACGGTCCCTGAAATAAATTGAAATCGAAAGACAGTTATTTTAGTAACCTCCAGTTTTAAGAGTAGTTATAAAATCATTGAATACAATTCTGTAGGGGATTGAAGGTTCCCCAGAGCGACGAGAATATATTTTTAGATTTTATAATTACTTTTTTACTTATTTTTCTCTCATAAAAATCAAACAATTGTTAAAAGTGCCTTTTAAAGGGTCTAACCTTTGCCGAAGGTAATCTTTTAAAATCAAGACTTTTGTGATCTTTTGTCAGTTATTTTAATAACTGCCAATTTTAAGAATACAATTCTGTAGGGGATTAGAGATTCCCCAGAGCGACGGAATACATTTTCACATTTTATAATTACTTTTTTACTTATTTAGCCCTCATAAAAAGCCAACCCAGTAGGGTTATAAAGATAAAATGCAGCTACAGTACTCAGTACAAATTGCTTCCTACACTCAAAGCCAACTAACCTTTCATATATAAACACTTTACGTTAAAAACCATTAAACATATTTATAAACAAACGATTTCGATCGATTTTCCGATAGTGGCAGAATTTATAGATTTCTTTCTGCCAAGTTAAAGGCATGAAAGTAGACTAGACTAGAAAACGCTGCAATGTTGCAACGCTAATGGCATTGCAAAACCCACCCCCATTGTTACCTCCAGTGCTGTTTCTGGCCGACCTCCGTCGCTGCTCGGTGACGCGTATGGTCTCCTGCTCCTCACTGTCCAAGCTGGACAGGCTTACGCTCTTGTTGGTGCAGTCGCCGCCACCGCCGCCTTCGTCCACCGCCGTCCAGGACTTCCGGCGATCGGTGTGCAGGAGCAGGCACTGCTGCGGTGCCGTGGACGACCACATGACGTAGTTGGCGCCGCCACCAGAGGAGGAGGAGGAGGCGCCTGTGCCCGCTCCCGTGAGATCGGGTAGCGAGGTGCTTAGAGCGGCTGCATTGAGCACTCCATGGTTGCCCAGGCCGCCGTCCTGCGTGTGCTGGCTGGGCGAGGAGGAGTTCTTCATCTGGACCACCGTCTCCCGGATGCTCTGCAGCTGGCTGAGCGTGTCCTCGAATATGTTGTTGTACTTGGAGGCCTGCGCGGGGCTGTGCGGCGTCACATTGATGGTGGGTATCATGTTGTTGTTGTTGATGATGCTGCTGCTGGCGGGAGGAGTGGCTGTGGGAGCAACTGCAGCGGGCGCAGGTGCGTTGATTACGGGTATGCAGTAGTTCTGGCTCTCGACGGAGGCGCCCCGGCTACCATTAACCACCGACTCCACCGTGGATTCGCAGCAGTTGGAGTTCAGGAAATCGGTGACCACGTCATTGTCGCTGTCCTCGCCCGCGTTGTCCATATTAGGACCAAATTTCTTTGTTTAACTTAGCTTAGCTGGCTGTTCTATTTTGCAGCTGGCTGCCTAGAAAAAGAAAGTTTTAGTATACAATGCACACACACACACACGCACACACTGAGTCGCGCGACGGTTATATGTGTACGTACCCAAAGACATACATACATACACAACGGGAAATAGCGCTTGTGTATGCACTTGCTCTTTGCTATTTATTGATTTTCCCGCCACCCCCCGACAAACACCTTGTTGCGCGGGGTAAATTGTTGCGCCTTTTTCGAAGGACGTCACTCGTCCTTGCACCAACAACAACAACAACAGCAGCAGCAGCAGTAGCAGCAGTGGCAGCAGGAACAACAACAGCAGTTCGTGTTCGATGGCTTGGAGTAATTGTGCAGAGACGACAAACTAAACAATGGGTCTGCGGGCGGGGTGGGGAAGGACTCTTCGTTGCACTTAACCGAAAACTAAATGGATTATTAAGCTAGAGTTTAACGTAGATTTTAAGTGGAAACGCTTCAGAAACAGTGCAAAACGGACTGTTAGCTAGCATACTCCCTGGCTCTGGGGATTTTGCCGTTCTCAGTAACGGTCACACAGGTGCACCAGCTCGATAATCGATAAGTATATTTTCGCAATTTCGAATTATCGATATAAGAGGCTTATCGATAGGTAAATCGAACACACGCAGTGTTACCGTAGCAGCACTGTTAAAATGGGCCAGCATGGCTATGTTAATTCAAATTCGATTAAACTGACCGTTGCGTGTATTCAATTTAATTTAAATGCTACTCCAAAAATGCTCGCAGAATGCTCCAGTAGCAAAATGCTACAATTATAAAATGCTCCAATTACGAAATGTTTCAACCATATTGTAATATGATCTAAGGCCCCTTTGACCATATTGTAATATGTTCTAAGGCTCCTTTGACAATATTGTAATATGTTCTAAGGCCCGTTTGACCATATTGTAATATGTTCTAAGGCGCCCTTTGACCACATTGTAATATGTTCTAAGGCGCCCTTTGACCATATTGTAATATGTTCTAAGGCGCCCTTTGACCATATTGTAATATGTTCTAAGGCCCCTTTGACCATATTGTAATATGGTCTAAGGCTCCCTTTGACCATATTGTAATATGTTCGAAGGCTCCTTTGACCATATTGTAATATGTTCTAAGGCCCCTTTGACCATATTGTAATATGTTCTAAGGCGCCCTTTGACCATATTGTAATATGTTCTAAGGCGCCCTTTGACCATATTGTAATATGTTCTAAGGCCCCTTTGACCATATTGTAATATGTTCTAAGGCCCCTTTGACCATATTGTAATATGTTCTAAGGCCCCTTTGACCATATTGTAATATGTTCTAAGGCGCCCTTTGACCATATTGTAATATGTTCTAAGGCCCCTTTGACCATATTGTAATATGGTCTAAGGCGCCCTTTGACCATATTGTAATATGTTCTAAGGCGCCCTTTGACCATATTGTAATATGTTCTAAGGCCCCTTTGACCATATTGTAATATGTTCTAAGGCGCCCTTTGACCATATTGTAATATGTTCTAAGGCGCCCTTTGACCATATTGTAATATGTTCTAAGGCCCCTTTGACCATATTGTAATATGTTCTAAGGCCCCTTTGACCATATTGTAATATGTTCTAAGGCGCCCTTTGACCATATTGTAATATGTTCTAAGGCCCCTTTGACCATATTGTAATATGGTCTAAGGCGCCCTTTGACCATATTGTAATATGTTCTAAGGCCCCTTTGACCATATTGTAATATGGTCTAAGGCGCCCTTTGACCATATTGTAATATGTTCTAAGGCGCCCTTTGACCATATTGTAATATGTTCTAAGGCCCCTTTGACCATATTGTAATATGTTCTAAGGCGCCCTTTGACCATATTGTAATATGTTCTAAGGCGCCCTTTGACCATATTGTAATATGTTCTAAGGCCCCTTTGACCATATTGTAATATGTTCTAAGGCGCCCGTTTGACCATATTGTAATATGTTCTAAGGCGCCCTTTGACCATATTGTAATATGTTCTAAGGCCCCTTTGACCATATTGTAATATGTTCTAAGGCCCGTTTGACCATATTGTAATATGGTCTAAGGCGCCCTTTGACCATATTGTAATATGTTCTAAGGCCCCTTTGACCATATTGTAATATGGTCTAAGGCGCCCTTTGACCATATTGTAATATGTTCTAAGGCCCCTTTGACCATATTGTAATATGTTCTAAGGCCCCTTTGACCATATTGTAATATGTTCTAAGGCGCCCGTTTGACCATATTGTAATATGTTCTAAGGCGCCCTTTGACCATATTGTAATATGTTCTAAGGCCCCTTTGACCATATTGTAATATGTTCTAAGGCCCGTTTGACCATATTGTAATATGGTCTAAGGCGCCCTTTGACCATATTGTAATATGTTCTAAGGCCCCTTTGACCATATTGTAATATGGTCTAAGGCGCCCTTTGACCATATTGTAATATGTTCTAAGGCCCCTTTGACCATATTGTAATATGTTCTAAGGCCCCTTTGACCATATTGTAATATGTTCTAAGGCCCGTTTGACCATATTGTAATATGTTCTAAGGCCCCTTTGACCATATTGTAATATGTTCTAAGGCCCCTTTGACCATATTGTAATATGTTCGAAGGCCCCTTTGACCATATTGTAATATGTTCTAAGGCCCCTTTGACCATATTGTAATATGGTCTAAGGCGCCCTTTGACCATATTGTAATATGTTCTAAGGCCCCTTTGACCATATTGTAATATGGTCTAAGGCGCCCTTTGACCATATTGTAATATGTTCTAAGGCGCCCTTTGACCATATTGTAATATGTTCTAAGGCCCCTTTGACCATATTGTAATATGTTCTAAGGCCCCTTTGACCATATTGTAATATGTTCGAAGGCCCCTTTGACCATATTGTAATATGTTCTAAGGCCCCTTTGACCATATTGTAATATGTTCTAAGGCCCCTTTGACCATATTGTAATATGTTCTAAGGCCCCTTTGACCATATTGTAATATGTTCTAAGGCCCCTTTGACCATATTGTAATATGTTCTAAGGCCCCTTTGACCATATTGTAATATGTTCTAAGGCGCCCTTTGACCATATTGTAATATGTTCTAAGGCCCCTTTGACCATATTGTAATATGTTCTAAGGCCCCTTTGACCATATTGTAATATGTTCTAAGGCGCCCTTTGACCATATTGTAATATGTTCTAAGGCCCCTTTGACCATATTGTAATATGTTCTAAGGCCCCTTTGACCATATTGTAATATGTTCTAAGGCGCCCTTTGACCATATTGTAATATGTTCTAAGGCCCCTTTGACCATATTGTAATATGTTCTAAGGCCCCTTTGACCATATTGTAATATGTTCTAAGGCCCCTTTGACCATATTGTAATATGTTCTAAGGCCCCTTTGACCATATTGTATTATGTTCTAAGGCCCCTTTGACCATATTGTAATATGTTCTAAGGCCCGTTTGACCATATTGTAATATGTTCTAAGGCCCGTTTGACCATATTGTAATATGTTCTAAGGCCCCTTTGACCATATTGTAATATGTTCTAAGGCGCCCTTTGACCATATTGTAATATGTTCTAAGGCGCCCTTTGACCATATTGTAATATGTTCTAAGGCGCCCTTTGACCATATTGTAATACGTTCTAAGGCCCCTTTGACCATATTGTAATATGTTCTAAGGCCCCTTTGACCATATTGTAATATGTTCTAAGGCCCGTTTGACCATATTGTAATATGTTCTAAGGCGCCCTTTGACCATATTGTAATATGTTCTAAGGCGCCCTTTGACCATATTGTAATATGTTCTAAGGCCCCTTTGACCATATTGTAATACGTTCTAAGGCCCCTTTGACCATATTGTAATATGTTCTAAGGCCCCTTTGACCATATTGTAATATGTTCTGAGGCCCGTTTGACCATATTGTAATATGTTCTAAGGCGCCCTTTGACCATATTGTAATATGTTCTAAGGCCCCTTTGACCATATTGTAATATGTTCTAAGGCGCCCTTTGACCATATTGTAATATGTTCTAAGGCCCCTTTGACCATATTGTAATATGTTCTAAGGCCCCTTTGACCATATTGTAATATGTTCTAAGGCCCCTTTGACCATATTGTAATATGTTCTAAGGCCCCTTTGACCATATTGTACTATGTTCTAAGGCGCCCTTTGACCATATTGTAATATGTTCTAAGGCCCCTTTGACCATATTGTAATATGTTCTAAGGCCCCTTTGACCATATTGTAATATGTTCTAAGGCCCCTTTGACCATATTCAGGTGTGTCCCAGAAAACACTAGAGTTTTTTCAGAGAGTTGCTTTCAAAAACAACAAACAACAAAAAAACTCCCTTGTTTTCCTTGTTTACTCAATCAAAAGCAACACAAAAACAATTGTCGGGTTCCCTAAAATCTAATTTTGATGCTTTCAAATGTGTATTTTTTTTTCCTACATTTGGTTCAGTTTGTGAGTTTGCAAATATCTGCATAATTTTCATAAATGTCCAAGGCTTCGTTAACCTTTTTTCGAATTAATGTTGAAGAAGATTTAACAAACTGCATTGGATTATGTGTTCAGCGGCTTAATTTAAAATGCTGATCAAAAGAATTTCAAATGTATCGGATAAAACTGAGTAGGCTTCATGTTGTTTTTCATACAAGTGCGTGTCAAAAAGCAAACTTAAACCTCAATTTTTTCGGGGACACCGAAATTTTAAGCGGTTGTTTTTAGCAACTCAAATGTCAGGTACTTGAAAAGAAAAAAAAATTCTACATCTGGTTGATAAATAAATTTAGAAAAAGAAAAAACTGCGCAAAGAACCTTCAATGCCTGCAGCGGGAATAATAGCCTTAAATGATGAAAGGAGGAGGGCTTTAATGCAGGAGAAAGTAAACCGTAGCCGCCTAAGAGATAGATCTAATCCGCTTTCAACCTCTGATGAAGCGTGAGTATTGCTTATACTTGTGGTACATAAATACATGCTTGTCAATTTACAGTTTTCGTTACAACTACCGCATTGACAAAAATGCATTCATCTTTATTTTTAACTTGATTCAAGAAGATATTCCCAAAAATTCTATTCCGCCAATCCTGCAACTAGCTACTGCACTTAGATTCTTAGGTGTCGGTTCATTTCAAAAAGTCATTGGAAAGGACTTTGATATTTCAATCTCAAGACAAGTCGTATGCAAAACTTTGTGGAAAATAATTCCGATTCGGATCGAATTGCCTCTTCAAAATTGCATTTTTTTACGAAGTTTGGAATTCCCGGAA